AATGAAAGCGGATCATTTTGCTGTGTGCGATTGTTGAGCTTCCCTATTTTGTGGACGAGCTCGCTGGCAATCCTTCAGAAACACCTGCAGAGGGGCTGGAGATAAATGAAGAGGGAAAACCTTTGCTGTGTACATCCTCCATGGAGGGCTGAGATAACATTGGATTGCCTGCCTTGATTGTGCGTCTGCAATACCACCAGAAACATGAGCTGTTTTGGGTCTGCACTAATTTTAAAGTATATTAATGTATTGGCTGTAAGTGAAGAGGGTGGAAACACAAATAAGTTGTAGTGAGAGAGGGTTCAAGCCACTATTTGACCCTCCAACAAGCACTTAGTGTTAGGGTATTCAAGTAACCACATAAACCACTCTGTCCATCAATAACCTACTGTATACAGAGCATACATGATCTACAAGTGAGGCTGGAACTATAATCGTTTTGCTAAATATGTGTATCAGGAGCTGTAATAATCCTCAAGCATTTTCTCCATCAGTCTTTGCAAACGTTTTCTATTTTTCTAGATTAAGCAGATTCATTTTTCTTTGACTCGTGGAAGAACATACAAGAGGTATTTTCAACTGTCTTACTTATAACTCATGATGGTCAAGTCAAAGAACGTTGCCTCTTTTGAAGAGAATGAAGCAATGCCCATAACAAAGGCAATATAGCCTGAAGAAGTTATCGTACTGTGGTAATGTTTTCATTCCAATACAACTCTTTATTGTTCCCAACTTTTCACATACAGAAGCTCGGTCATTACCCCTTGGTTGTGCTTTTTAATGCAAGCATCAAACTATGATGCCCCACTTCTACGTTTGCACTTAACACATGTGAATTAAAACTAAACCACTTGTTTAGGCATTCAAAAACGAAATGACTTGGTTATGTTTGGGTAACAAATAACTCAACATTACACCACATCACCTGACTGAAGGTGCCTCGCTTCTTTGCTACAAATGTTTCTCTGATTAGTTTACATTGTAGTTAGGTCCCCTATTATACTCCTTTTCAACAATATATTATAGGTCTCAGATATATACAAAACTCTGAAGTGTTCGGCTCGAAATACCAAACAGATCAAGCATTGTAGCATGCCATGTACTGCTGTGTTTCAGCCCTTTTTTAAATGCTGATTATGTGCTTTAAATGCAAATGAACTGCCAATTGAATACAAAGTTTTGTGTTAAACTCGGGCAAATTCTCATAAAATGAGTGTATTTCTGATAACAAAATACCTTATTGATAAACCTTGTACCTGCAGCTTGGACAATGAATATGGCAAAGATAGAAATAACGATATTTTGTACCATTATATGTTCACAAGAGTGATTTCCACTTTGAGTATATTTAAGTTTAAGTACTGCGAGGGCCGCACTTAGAGGATGCTTCTTTTGTCCCGAAGTGGCCACTGAATATTCCAGACAATAGCTACTCCTGTGAAACACAAAAGGTTAGGGATGAGCAGAGAAGATGGAAAAGGAAAATTATCTGTGACTCAACATCCCTTTAGTTCTCAAGTGGACGATGGAAGTAGAACAAGATTAAAATGGCCGAGTTTGTATCATCTGGAGATGTATTATATGTTCTAGGAAGTACAAAGAGAAATAAAAGACACATGCTATGTTTTGAAGTTCAGACCATCTATAATCTATGAGCAGAGACTTTTTCAATTTCATTTGGGACTTTGGAACAGAGTTGCAGACCTTAAATTTGTATTCGGATGTAAGGGGAATGAGAAAAGAAGGACCTGGGAGTGGAAATGATGTTGTTCAACAGAACAGTGTACCAGTGTATATGTATGTCTCAGATATTCCCTTTAAAGTTAAATATTGGCTTTAATGTTACATATTGGCTTCTTAGTAAGCTGCCAAGTTGTGCTCAGATAGTTAATATATGATATACTGAAATTATGAAACTCCAAGATATACAATATATAAGTATATTGTTGTCTTTGTCTCTGTGCAGAGAAGCCTTAGCCAACAGTAACACAACAGTTTGTAACCACATGGATAGCCAGTGTCAATGAATCTGACCCCAAGAGCAAAATCCCCACAACTCCAGCAATGAAGACAAATGATAATTCTTACCCCCTCTGTAGGTTCGTGCACTAGTTTGGTAATTACTCTGACAACAGCACGGCAGCAACAGCGTGGGTGCATTTAGCCCAGCATTTCAATTAAGTGTCGGCAAAGTCTAATTTGTCATTTACCAATTAGGATAAAGTCTGATTTGGCTCACTATTTCACAGCTAAATGGGGACTGAGTTAAGATGTTCAGTTTCTCCGTTTTTAAATGTATTTCCTTCTTGCCAGGTTATGGGAGAGGAAAAAATCGAGGAACTATGCTATGATTTTGTACACCTCCAGTTTTCTTTAGACTTTATGATCAAAACACTTTTCCTGCCAACTTCAATCTCAAGGGCAAGTCTGTCCATTGGCAGCCATCTCAATCAAACACTGGACATCAGTGAGCTTTGCCTAAGGCTAGCGTTTGGGTTGTGGTCTGATCAAAGGGCGGGAACAAGAGCCATCACACTGGTCAGTAAAGCTCATACTCTGTGTTTAAAAGTTGTATTTTGTGTCAGACAGAGGCTGTTAATATATAATAACTCAAAGTATATCTCTTTTGCCTCTTTGATTATAACTCAATCTCCGTAATTGGTACAGGTTAGAACCTCTTTAATTAAACAAATGATCTCCTTTTCAATCATCGCACCGTCACTGCTATTTGCACATGTATATTTTAATCTCGCCTGATGAGGAAGTCATGTTATGGCTGGGCTAAATATAGATATTTTGGGAGAAATTCAACGTGTGGCCACCTTTTTTGAAGAGCCATTTGTGCCCCGTCGTAAATTCTAAGACACCTACTTCAGCAAAATACATAGTCATAAACTGAGGGAAGTATAACAAATGAGCACTAAAAGTCATCATCTGCATCATAAATGTATAACAGACTTAGATGAGGAGAGAGGGAGCAAAATGGAGGCGGAGGAAGACCTGCATGTAATAGATGTTGTTTAAGGAAAGCACTAATGTTCATAAAGGTGGGAAATGTGCTGAGAGGATGCTATATGAGTCACAATGCATTTTGAATCACAAAGACACATTTGTCGGCTTAGCAGTGTAATATATTAGTATTAATGTACATGTGCATGCATGCTAGGTCTGCTAGGCTCACTGCTAAAACGTTCTACTTCTTTATCATCAATCAATTATCAGTTCAAAATGTATATTCTTTCTGTCCTTTTAATAAGATGTGTGATATATTTACTGAATACTTCATACTGGACAATGTTAGTTTTATACTTTAAGCATTCTAACATTGTCCAGTCATTGCTATCAGTCGGAAATACTCAGATACAAAGTTATCATAATATTTCCTGAAAATGTATCAACACTTTCTTTGAACCATGGTCATCTTTATACACATGTATTGACAATCCATCCAGTAACTGTTAAATCATTTCACACTGGACAAAGGTGGTCCACTGGACGAAGTTTGACATTGTCTTCCCGTGAGCCTCGCTGCTTGTGTGGGTTAAAAAACAATCAAAAAGACAGACAAGCTGCTTGCAGGAAGTCATTAAATCAATGCTTTTAATAAACTTTTTCTTCATGCACTCCAAATTCTCCAGCCTGTGCACTCTTTACAGCTCTCAAGCTTGCATCTTACCCTTTAATCCAGGCCTGATCCTCACAATCTAAAATATGTTGCCACCAATGGCCTATTTGGCTTGTCAAATGGTTGCTGAGTGAGTAGTAAACCCCTACCTGCCCACTCACAGCACGATAACAGTGTCAGCTAAATGCCAAATACAAATGTGAATGTGTATGCGGCTGATATAAGGACACAATTAGGCACACGGGTGCACATAAACACAAAGTTCAGATGGCTAATGGAGAACCAATGCAGGACCTAAAATGCTGTAAATGCAAAACACAAGATATTTGGTTGTGATTTAATCTCCCAGCAGTGCTGCCTGAGGTAAACAGCATGGATGGAGATGGGGATTTTTGCCTCAATCGCTCCTTTTTAGCCTCAACTCTCCTGCGAAATATCGGCTGCAGCTTGATGGATGGCTTAATTAGAGCCCTGCATCCATAGTTGAATCACTTTCTAGAAATGAGCAAGCTGTCAACACCGCGATGCAGATCAATCCTGCCAGTCGAACCTATTCCAACATCAGCCGCTCCATTCCAGTCCAATTGTTTGATGGAGCCCCTGCGTGATTCTGGGAAGGTGTTTTGGGAGGGATTTTTTAATCACAACAAAAAGATGAACAATCCAAATGGATTCAGATCAAGATCTCATCAAGCTACTCCTGTGCTCAAATGACTCCATTTGGCATTTCAAGTTTGGTTTACAGCCTCTGTCTTGTGTCATGAACATCATTTTAAACCGATGCGGACATCAGACGTGACTGGTGTTGTTTGCACATCAATCATGTGAATGGTCAGCTGTTGTAAATGGTGCTTAAGCTTGTTTGCCACAGGATGCATTGCCCAGAGGGACTCACTGGTGTAGGTACTGTTTGTTTTGTGGGTTTGGACAGGCGGTACTGTGGCAGCCGTTCAAGCTGGCCATGCCCTCAGGGGGTAAGGGGGATTTGGGTTTGGAGGGGGTATTGCAGCAGATGTTTCCTGTCCGTCCGACGGGGGGGGGGCGGCGTCAGATGATGGAGACGAGCGGACCGGTGACCTCTCCTCCCCTCTTCCTCACACCTCCCTCTCCCGACATGTGTCAGTCAGTGCCAGGTCAATATGGTGGCCCAGTACGCCTGCCGATCCGCCATGTGCTTCCAAGGTAGCACCAGTCATTTTCACCCCCTACACCTGCCAAGTGTGTCAGGAGGACCACGGGCATAAATGAAACCTTGCGGATAAACAAACGCGCCTGATGAGCACTTGAGGAACATTGGCGACTGTTGAAGTACATTTATCATTAAGTCTCATTTAATTATATACAATTATATACATTATAACTTAAATGAATGATCATCACTTAACCCTGTCTAGCCACCAATCTTCCATACCCTGTCATGTAGAATTTCATTGGCTGTTCCCCTTCCCATCTTTTGCTCTCTTCACTTAAAGAGTCTTGTCATTTGTTTGATCGATGTCAGATGTCTTAAGCACACATTGGTGCAGGTTATCTGTCCTTCCAGCTGGGAATTAGATTGATTCTGTTAAATGCTATAACCCTTTATTAAATAACACAGCTTTGGTTTAAGCTTGTATTTTGTTCTTTTCTTACCAGAAGGTGATTAAGTGTGGAATTTCCTTACCAATCTACAGTCACATGTTCCAAACTATCAACACATTTTCATGCCAAATGCAAATCATAAATATGCAAACATGAAATTGTCCCCATTTTCCTCTAACCCCCAACCCTTCCTTCCCTCTCGCCCGCGCCCTGGCTATCGGCCACCATGGCTTCCCACTCACATCCACCCACATGCGCATCACCCAACCGCTGCAGTTTATCCCATTTGTAACACATGGCTGGCCATCGTACAGCTATGACCAAAGGGAACGCAATGGAGCCAGGCGGAGAGAAAAGGGGTGTCGGGGGTCGCGTCCGCCGGATGGAGGGGCGGCTGGTGGACTGAAGCGGGGTTTGGCTTGGTCTGGTTGGCTGTAATTGGTGTCCACTCTTCCAGAAGCCCTGCAGTGATGGCGGACAGGATGACTCTCCCCGCATTTCCCCTGCCATCTACAGTGTGTGTGTGTGTGTGTGTGTGTGTGTGTGTGTGTGTGTGTGTGTGTGTGTGTGTGTGTGTGTGTGTGTGTGTGTGTGTGTGTGTGTGTGTGTGTGTGTGCATGACTGAATGGAGGCACACACATTTAGGGGGCATACAACTGGTGACAGAAACACTGACAATGTCCTTAGGGCCTGTGTGAGTGCGCAGCCAAGGGGTAAGTGTTACGATAAATGGATGTAGCATCTCATTTGATCACATTATATGAATCCTGTACATTATCCTATGCAACCTTTGTTTGCAATTTTAACATCATTTAATATTAATTTCAGGGGCAAGGTTGAAATATATCTGATTTTGAACTTTCAAAATAACAAATTACAGGGGACATCTATTTATCAGTTTATTGGGGCCAATGTTCTGAACCATTCGGACAGGGGAACACAAAGTGGGTTCCCAATGGCCTGTGCACCCTTTCTGGAACCAAGACAATTTTCGAATATAACCTTTGTTTTGATTAACTACGCACCGGTTACGTTTTGTGACTGCTTCTTTCATGGTTGAATCCCACGACTTGATAACAAAACCAGCATTGTTTTCGTTGCTAATACATTCTGTCAGCATTAAACCTTTACTGCACTTTTCCCACCTAAACATATGGCAATGGAACACAATATTGGAATTGTTCCATTATGGGCCTGGATGCAACCAATATTAGACATTATTGTGTATGCATCGGGCAAATGGGTTTCTGGCAGCACAAACACCGTCTGGTACATAGACAGAAAAAAAAGGTGCTAGAGAGAAAACAGTATTACATTCAACATATTTTTAGAATTTGACGTTAAATTACCATTGTTTACTAACTTAGATTGAAATTAGAGATACATATTTTCAATGATGTGATTCCATATTGCTTAAGGATACATCATTGGAAGTGCTTGCCCTTGTTAAACTGGGCCTTCAGGAGTAATGTGTACTATGATGAAATGTTAAATGACATACTAATAAGCTTTTTTCTGTTATTTTCCAGCATTGTACATACACTGAACAGAAATATAAACGCAACACTTTTGTTTTTGCTCCCATTTTTCATGAGATGAACTGAAAGATATAAAACATTTTCTATATACACAAAATAACCATTTCTCTCAAATATTGTTCACAAATCTGAAAAAATCTGTGATAGTGAGCACTTCTCCTTTGCCGAGATAATCCATCCCACCTCACAGGTGTGGCATATCAAGATGCTGATTAGACAGCATGATTATTGCACAGGTGTGCCTTAGGCTGGCCACAATAAAAGGCCACTCTGAAACGTGCAGTTTTGCTTTATTGGGGGGGTCTGGGGGAGTCCGAAAACCCTAGGGTCAAACCCTAACCCTAACATGTCACCCATCTCCTTCGCATAGAGTTGATCAGGTTGTTGATTGTGGCCTGTGGAATGTTGGTCCACTCCTCTTCAATGGCTGTGCGAAGTTGCTGGATATTGGCAGGAACTGGAACACGCTGTCGTATACGCCGATCCAGAGCATCCCAAACATGCTCAATGGGTGACATGTTAGGGTTTAACCCTAGGGTTTTCGGACCCCCCAGACCCCCCCAATAAAGCAAAACTGCACGTTTCAGAGTGGCCTTTTATTGTGGCCAGCCTAAGGCACACCTGTGCAATAATCATGCTGTCTAATCAGCATCTTGATATGCCACACCTGTGAGGTGGGATGGATTATCTCGGCAAAGGAGAAGTGCTCACTATCACAGATTTTTTCAGATTTCTGAACAATATTTGAGAGAAATGGTTATTTTGTGTATGTAGAAAATGTTTTAGATCTTTGAGTTCATCTCATGAAAAATGGGAGCAAAAACAAAAGTGTTGCATTTATATTTTTGTTCAGTGTATATTACATCTTTAAATATATTTATACCAATTATTGGCCACAAATCAACCCACATCTATTGGACAACAACTTTGCCACATCACCCTCCAGTTCAGTCTACAATCTCCAGATGGAGTTCATACCCTTCAATTTGCTGACCTTTCATAATGAGATTTAAGTCTGCAGCCTTCACTTTTCGAAAGAAACCGTCTGAAAAATATGTTATTAAGTAAATTGACGCTCCAGTGTGCTTTCTCTTTATCTTAGCGGCCGTCTCCCACTCTCACCCACTCCCACTCACTCTCTCTCTCTCTCTCTTCACAGAGAGGTGTTATTCTTGTCTGATAACTCCCCTAAGAGTGAGAGAAAGAGAGCGCGAGTTGGAAGAAAATAGTTGAGACTAAGTGGAATGAATGCCAAAAGGAATTAGGTGAAGTCTTCTGGCCTGACAAAGCTGTGAGGGCTCGGGAGTGACCTTATCATCACCTGTTATAGAGACTTGCATGAGGTATACAAAAAAGATATATCAAGAACATTACAAGTATTATGAAACGTAAAACAAATGACATTGCGCTTTAAATTAAATAGTTTTACATCAAATAACCGTACATAATGATATAAATATATCTTAGTCCTTTACAATATTCAGAAGTGAATTCAATATGTGTAAGATCCTCAATTGCAAAACACAGCTTCCTGCCGCTACATATGAAGCTAACGTAGCACTATTAGGTTATGGGTAAGCAAACGACTACAAATGAAATAATTTTAGATTATTAATAACTAATTTGTGGGAATGTGACACCTGCTGGGCTCTGTAGGCACAGCGCAAGTGTGATGGCATGTGACCACATGCACTGACATGAGTTCCATCAAAAAGCTCATAATAACATTTCTAATTAATTACCGGTCTTGATCACGCTTTCCCGCCTTTCTCCTCTGCCTTTTTTCCAGATTTGAACCTCCAGGCAAACTATTATCATGGCAACTGGAAGGAAATTCCACTTATATCTTACGTCTGAGGAAATGAAAATGGCACATTAAACATAACAATCAATGTACCCTCTGATTAGTTTTTGCACATTCCTGTGTCACACATGGCCCAACTGTACTGTATAGGGCAGATATGACGCCTGCACCAGTCTATTAACCAGATTGAATGTTTTGTGAAAACCCCCCGGTCAAATACAACATTGTTTGAAGTGAAAGCTGAAATATAACCTGAAAATCTTTCTCTAGCTTTAACTGTCTGTATTAATGACTGTGATATCATTCTATGGGGTGTTGTTATGTGATTAATCAGGCCTTTATAGACTCTACAGCAATGCAGAGGGCATCTAAGTTGAGTTGATGCAACGCAGTCACGGCCGGCTGCCTCTCTTTGGCTTTTGTGTCCTGTGTTGAGTCTCTTGTTTATGGGCAACTTTAAAGCATGGCTGGTCATAAATAATACATCTATTACCGAAGGATAACATCTCATGCACCCATTGGGAAGATATCTTAATAGCAGGAAGTTGTATACATGTTATTCAAGTGTTACTACTCAAGGGCAATTGTCTTTATTTGAGCTATGCTGTGAATGTCAATAAGGGTAATAAAATAAAGCGTTTTTTTGGACTCAGGTTGACAGAGAACCGCTTGATTGACATTATAAAGTCTGCTTGTAAGAGAATACTTTATAAGGTTACAGTATGTTGCTTCGAAACATTTAAAGTATGTCCTGTTTTAGCTTAAATACATTGCTTAAATCCTCGTTATCATGCCAATATATTATCCCTGAGTAACTCCTTCATGTGTGATTGTTAATTGATTAATGTGAGAATCATCAGCAAGGTCTGCAGCTTTACAGACAAATGTAGCCTCGTTTACCAAATTGTTTGGTTTTATGGCCCCCACATACACAGTAAGGTTCAGTCTCGCTGCTCTTTTTAAGATTGTTTTAGCAGCAGGAAGCCATTTTCAGTAATCATTGTCTGATAAATGTACTGTGTGCTACCTGCCAAGCACAAAACGGTAGCAAGACCAAATTAGCAGGTACTGTAGCTGTTAAAGGAAGTCGAGCATAAAGTAGTAGACAAGACATCTTTGGGGGGGAATAACATTTTAGGAACTGAAAATACACTGTGAGAGGGTTAGACCAGGGGTGTCAAACTCAAATACACAGTGGGCCAAAATGGGTACTAGTCGAGGACCGGACTGGTTCAATGTTTATTGCAAAACTTATTGAAATGAACTTATTGCACATATTAAACCTGGAACTAACAAAGCTTAAACTATTGCCTATAAAAACAACATTACATAATGAGTTGCATTCATTTCTTATCAGCAGCTTTTCCAGACTCATTTCTTATGATTACATTTTTCCACAGGCCAACAACAGCTTCAAAAAAAAAATGTCCCTCAAAGAAAAAAACAAACATGCCCTGTTGTCGCAAGAAAAAAAGTTCAGAAGGAAACATCCATTGAAACTCAGTGTGCTGCTCTGTGATGCTAGTTCAAGCCAG